GATTATTAAGTAGGAAAGGGTGAATTTCAGTCATGAGACGTGAACTGTAGACAGCATAGCCATATTTTGTCACTTCATCAACGCAAAAAACCATGGTATTCGGCGACCGTCGCCCTGCTACTAATTTATCGACTGGTTGCACCGAAACACAGCGTTCGGTGGATTTTGGAGGATAAAGCAAATCAATACGAACCACGCTTTAATTTGGTTCCAAACCGGCGTCCTGGTATGCAAAACTGAGCGGTTTCAAACAGCAACACTGCCCTCTCCCTCCCTCCCCACAATGATAACTGATTTATTTCTTGTTTTCCTTATTTGCAAGTATTACAGGCAGTCAACAGTAAAAGGCAAAAGAATATTCGATTTTTCACAGGAGATGTGAATGGACCGTCATCCTATCACCACAGCTAGGCTCAGATCGCTGGGTGGTACCATAAAATTTGCTGATAATATGTCATTATTTCAGTTACCTTTTTTTCAGATGGTTTCTAAATTTTTATGTTCAAAGGGACATCAAGTTATGAAATATGAGGCAGATTTTGCACAAAATAGCACAGACATCGTACAGGACGTAGTGCCACACCTCGGTAACGAAAGGTTTGATTTCTACGAGCATTAATATACAAGTATACACTCAAACGTATATACATTCGTTCATTCATAAATATTTGCTGTGCATTTTTCTACGATTAATACAAACACTTGCATGCAGTCTTGCTATCGGGAACTTCCTGAAAAAATATCCTATGCAAATTTTGAGAAGATCTCTCGGACTCACGGACGGTTTGGGAATTCAAGAAACGTGCTCCAGGATAAATTACAATAGTACGTTGTGATATGCGACTACTACATTATTACTTTGATCGTCACCATCCAATCACCACATGAACGTCGAGGTCTACTTACGAAACCAGTTGTCAGTGTAAAATAAGCGAGGGTGAAGGATATATGTTTTCAGCCAGAAGGTAAATTACCACAAGAATGAGTACCTACTGTTCATTAACATAATTGCAAATAAACTGGGTCAATGTCAGCTGCTATTTTTACGTCAAAACTATATTTTTCGCTGCAAGCAGAAAG